ACGACACTGGCTGAGCTTCTGAATGATCAGGCTAATGCTCCGATGTCGTCCGTTTCCGAGCAACTGGCTGTTGTGAAGAAGAGGATCCACGATCTCGAGAACAAGAACAAGAAGAATTCGCGACTTGTTGAGGAGCTGGAAGACCAACTCCAGAACAACTTCGATCAGGTGCAAATTACAAATAACCGCCTGTCGACGTTGCAGACGGAGAAGTCTGCCCAGCTGGATGAGGCAAACGCAGCCAGGAAGAGACTGCAGTCCGAGCTGGACACTATCAAGGAGGAATATGCCTCGCTTCAAGTAAGTCAACTGAAAGAATATCGAGTTGACACAGAGCTAACAATGCAACAGGCTAAGTTCGAGGCTGAGGGTCCACATCGCAGCAACTCCATCAATGGCGCCAATGGCGCTCCTCTCCGCAAGAGTGCTTCTGTTTCCTCCCTCCCATCTCCGCCACCTGCGATTCCTCTCCCGCCACTTCCCATGGGCTCTTCGGCCCCCTCGCCACCCAACGTTCCCGGCCACCCTGCCTCCCCTACCGGTCGGCCACCAAGCAAGGACCTCGCCTTCTCACAGATCCAAGAGGACCAGGAAGCGCGCATCCGCACGATCGAGAAGCACCTCTTCGCTGAGAAGCAGCTCACCCAGACCCTGGAGGAGGCGCTCACAGATCTCGAACGGCAGCAAAAGAAGCTCAAGTCAGACTGCGATGCCTGGCGCCGGCGCGCCGGCGACCTCGAGGCGGAGATCAAGGAGCTCAAGGAGAAGCCGCAGCAGGACAACCGATGGAGCCTGCACCAGGTGGAGGAGGAGCGCAAGAAGCGGCGCGAGGCCGAGATCGCGCGCGAGCACCTCGAGGCGCGCATGAACACCATCTCCAAGAAGAAGAAGAAGGGCAGCCTGAACTGCTTCTAGAAGGAGCCGTTCTTCTGGAAGCTCGCCGTGCCCCCCTTGGTGGAGGGTGCCGGCTTGGGGCTGGCTCTCTTGCTCTGCCGGCTTTTGCTGGGCTGGTCCGTGTCGGACGTTTGGCTTTGCGTTGCGCTTTGGTTTGCTTCCCGTCTACAGCACGTGTTCGTCGTCGTCGCTTTTTGATACCAAAGTTTCAATTATGCAGCATGTTATACGCGATTGGAGTTGACGGCCGCACTCATACCCCCTTTTTCTTTTCTTGTTTCTGTTTGTTTTTCTTTTGTTACTTGATATTTTTGCCGGGTACAATTGGAAGAGAAGTTTACACACTTGCTGCCCCAGAAGCTTGCGCAAGCACACTCGCGTTCGAAGCATGGTGCCTGAGCCTTGATCCCCCATGTTTTGTCTCTCAAATCTTGTTTCCCTTGCGCTCGTTTATATAATTCGGTTCGGACAGATGAGCATCGTCACGGGAATATTGAGATGAGAATGATGTGGAACGGGTGAATTTGCTTTGGAGGAGAGAAGAAGTTGAAGAGAAAACAAGAAGAGTTGGACCATACCCCCTGAGCTCTGGACTATACAGCGGAGTGCGACGGTATCATGTATTGAAACTGGTTGTTCCTGTTGGGCTTTGCTTGTACACTCGTCGAACCAATCAAGCAAAATGACCTGTCTCTCAAGCCTGAATGGCATGGTCCCTGCTTCCTAAGCTGTGAAAGAATAAAGCCGCATTATTAGTCGCAAATCATATAGACTACAGTACAACACTTGCTGAAAGCCATTCTTACTTCTGGGAGCGCCTTAATGAGCAGAATGCGTCGCGAGGCTTAAAATATACTTGTACTTATAGTATGTAAGTACGTAGGGTTGTACGGGAACAAGTCGATCGTCGTCTCGTCGTGGCACCGAGGGTCAGTTTGGAAATCAAACCCGAGCGGCTTCTTGCTTTCACAGCTTGCCTGCTTCTTGTGACATAAGCGAGAATACCTTGCCGCCTCGCAATATCGTCAACACCGCAACCCCTGGAAACCCCGAGTACACTTGTTCACACAACAAGTGACGGACCAGTGATGCGCATTTTGCAATGAGGCCTTCGTTGTGTGACTGTTACATATCTCGCCACGTGGAAGAGGCGCAGGCAGTATCACTTTCCTATCTCATAACTCTCTAGACTACTGTGATAGTCCGATATGCGGGCAGCAGGCAGCAGGCCGCCTGAGAGGACTCACCGCAAGACAAGTTGTCTTCCTCGCCATGTTAGCCATTCTTCGCACAATCCAACACTCTCCAGCGCAAAAACCGACACAATGGAAACGCCAGACTTCTTCGCTGACGAAAAGTCAGTAGCGCTAAAGCGAAGACTGGTTGGAGACAATTACCAGCCGGGACACTTATGCATCCACTGCAGTGACTTCGTGGTCCGGCCGGTACCTCGCGAGCCAGACGGCCACTTCAAGTCCTATGACGATGGCAACCTCTTCTTCCAACTCGCAACGACAAGGACCCAGATCCGCGAACTCGCCAAGACGACAGGTTGTCCCTGGTGGTCGATGTTCGCCGATGCCATCAGGAGGCAGGAGTTCGAAACCAAGCTCTTCGATGCGAAGGACGAGATCAAGTGGGAGGGTTGGTCGAGCGAGCACTATGAAGCTCTTGCTGTTGTAGCCTTACCAGAGGTCGAACAGGAGGAGTATCGAAAGCTTCGGGAAAGGAAAGATGTCTTATGGGGCTTCGTCATGGATCATCAGCGAAAGTACGAGAGCGACGACTCTGTCATTGTCTCCATGACGTACTCGTCGCTCAACGACTTAGGGACTCGTCCTGTTGAGGTTGAGGTTCGGCTGAGCTTGCCGCAGTCGGAGGAGATACGGCAGGGCGGCACGTATAATGCCAGTTTCTTTGCGTTGGCATTACCTGGTGCGTCTCACCTACAAATGCGCTTTCCCAGGTTATCAGTACTTACCACGACAAACAGACGAGACCGATCTATATTGTTCTCAGGTCCTTAATATGCCCGTCAACACAAGCCCTGGCAGTTCGAAATCCCTTACGCTGGTTCGCTACTGGTTTGAGAGGTGTGCAACAGCCCACGACTGTGGAATCCTGGATCTGCCTCCGTCCCTGCCCTCTATGCTCCTTGCAGTAGGAGAGCGTGATATTCGCCCGGTTGAGACGACGAATAGCGCGAAAGTCCGATACGCCGCACTATCGTACTGCTGGGGGACACAACCCCAGAACATCGTTCGTTGCAAGTCGACAATACGGCAGCTAACAAACGGGATCCCGCTCGAATCGCTCGGTGCGACCATCAGAGATACCGCCAAAGCCGTCCAGGCCGTAGGACTGGAGTATCTCTGGATCGACTCCCTCTGCATCGTCCAAGACGACTTGGAAGCCAAGGGCCGCGAGATAACGCGCATGCACGACATCTACTGTAACGCCACGGTGACCATAATAGCCTCGCGAGCAGCAGCCGTGCAAGATGGCTTCCTCTCCGAACGGGGGCCCGCCGGTCAAGGCAAAGCTCGATCCATATTTGAAGTCAAGTACACCGCAAGGGACAGCACAGCCCCCGACCGCACCGTCATGCTCGTCCCTTCCGGCCTGGATAAACTAGAACCCTGGTTCGAGCGCGCGTGACAATGCAGGAGACCCTGCTGTCGGGCCGCCGTCTCCAGTTCGGCACGAGGCAGACGACCTGAACTGCCAGCACGGTAAAGTCCGATACCGCGACAGCGACGGCTGGCTCGCGACGCAGCACAACTCGTACAGCAACTGCGGGAGCAAGGAGCTCTTCGACAAGACGACGGCCATTATCAGGCAACCTGACGCATCAACCGGCTACCGCCGCAGTGATCTCCTCTGGAACTGGGACCAGTTGGTCAGCGCCTTCTCGAACCGCAAGCTGTCGTACCACGGGGACCGACTACCAGCTATCTCGGCTATTGCGAGAGAGTTTGCAAAGGTACTGGACAGCGAGTACGTGTGCGGCCTGTGGAAGTCACGGCTGCATGTTGAACTCCTGTGGAAGGGAGACGGTACGAAAGAAGTCAGCGCTGAGCACGTCAAGACGCGTCCGTCGTGGTCATGGGCTTCGTACCAGGGCGGAGTATTCTTGAACCACGATAACCTGCCGGAGGATGACGACTTGGCGATTCTGGGAAGCGAAATCATCCCCCAGACGCCGGGTGATATGTTCGGTGCCATCCACTCGGCAAGCCTGGCCGTCCGTGGCCTTCTCACCCCCGTGCCCACGAGCCTTCTGAACGATGAGCTGAAGGCGTCCCTCCCCGACGCAGCGGACGAGCAACATCCAGACGAAGAGGACCGACAAGATGGCCTAACCGAAGCCATCAGGACCTCGCAAATCCGAACAGACGACCCTGCACTGCTCACCAAGCCACTGGTATACGACCAGCCAGTATTCAACTCGGCGAAACTGTACCTGCTGGTCGTGGGCTACGACAAGCAGTCAACCAAGGTTCCGACCGCGCCCGCCGGACTGGTGCTGAGCGAGGAGGGACCGGGCCTGTACCGACGCGCCGGTTGCTTCGAGGTGCAGAACATATGGCATAGGAAGAAGTTTGAGCGGTGGTTCGGACGGGATATGCCGAAGCCTTCGAGGGAGGAGTATAGGAAGAGGCTGAGATATCTCTGGGGCGGAGAGGACAGTATTAGGGAGATCATAGTCTAGGAAGCACGCAGGCTGACGAAGTTATCCGGCAACAATGAATGGCTAGATCACCTGAGAAATCATTGCGGTCACGACACTTAATGTCAGGCGAATACTAGTCTGAGGTCACCTTGATCCAGTGCATACCGTAGCCAAAGACAGGCAATAATTGCAAGCATGTTCGTGGTTCGTTGATGCATCTCCTGGAAACATGGCGCCCAACCCCCTATTCGGACAGTATTGGCACACACCCTAAATGGCCCACCACACCAAGATCGTACGGACAAACTTCAAAACACCGCAACTCCGTCAATTCTTGTCCAAAATAAACGAGAGGGTAATATAAATGAAGCCCCGAAGCCGTAAATCATTTTAGGATAGCTCAAAAAAACGCAAAAAAGTCCCAAAAAAAAAACTCCCCCTCACAGGTTTGAACTGTGGACCTCCTGATTAACAGTCAGACGCTCTAGCCAACTGAGCTAAGGAGGATGCTCTAGCCAGCAGCTCTAGCCAACTGGGTGCTCGAGCCGTGGTTGATGACTGACAGTCTCATAGTTACCATTATAGTGTGACGTTGCGGGACGGGATTCGCTGTCTGAAGTCCAGAGTCAGAGCCAGGTCTTCGCTTGCACACGTGGACACCTGTGGTAGGATTTTGCATGTTAGTGCGGTAACATGCGGCTCGTACCACGTCCCTGCCCCACTGGAATTTGGCCCACAAGTTCACCAACCCCACCTATCGTCGTGTTGTCGGCTTATCGTGGGATCGTCCAATCGTCCGTTCAGGTCTCGCGCTAACATGCGTAATCCTGGAACAGGTGTAAAGTAATGTTAAGCAACAGAATTAAATGCTCGCTCGCTCGCTTGCTATGGTATCACTATGAAATGAATGTGAACTCCCACTCCTCCTGCCATTAATCCTAAACCATCCACATTACATTCTGCCCCCGACATCACGACGACCCCTTCCGCCCAAACGGCCAATTCGCGTTCTTCCTCGCCTGCCCACCACCGCCACCAGTACTACTACTAATAACATTCAACGTCCCAAACGGACTGACATTCGTCCCCACCCTGAGCCACTTTTCCAGACTAGGAGGTGAATCCATCTTGGACTGCCTCAGCGCCTCCTTCTTCTCATTGTCGACGCTGTACTCGCTCGTCGGACTTAACCCTCCTGCTTCGACATCCTTTGGTTGCTGGCTACTCCTAGGAAAAACGCTGTAGTTGAGGTTCCGCTTCGGCGGCTCAGCGAGACGGAAACTAGCTCTGTTCGCGCCGATGGCTTTGGCGAAGCCGACGCGCTGGGGTTGGATCGTTGGTTCGGGGGGTTTGATGTCGACTGGATAAGAGGACTTTCCGTAGCTGCCGGCCATGTCGTTTGACGAACCCTGGGGGCCGGGGTAGCTGATTGAACCACCCCCTTCACGCCGTGCGGCGGCGGCGAGGGAGCGGCGGTATCGCCTGCGCCGCTTGTACCGCAATACCATGACGAATGCGAAGATGGTTATGAGCGACGAGCCGATTATGGCGCCTACGATGGCTAGTGCCGCCTGCGTGACGGAGACTGCTGCGCCTTGGGCTTCGAGGACGCGGGTGTCTGCTTCGCTCTGTCTTGTCGTCAGTACTACATCACAAGCACAAAAGGGGGAAGTGGTAAGAGAAAACTCACCCTGACAGCAGTAGCATCGGCCTTGGCAGCCTGCACCAGGCTCGCCGCAGAGCTCATAACCAGCTGCGCGCTGGTGCTCATGGCCGCGATCACGCTCGCCACAGAACTCGCCGCCGAAGAAGCGGCACTCCGGCCGGCGACCTCGGCCGCGGCGCTCGCGCTGCTCTGCGCGGACGACACGGCGCGGTCGGCGCTTTGCCGCGCCTGGTCCGCGTCTCGCGAGGCCTGCTGCGCGGCCTGGTTGGCCTGCTCGGCGCTCTGGCGCGCCGCGTCGGCGCTGGCGCGGGCGGAGGCGAGGGACTGTTGCGTCTGGGAGAGCTGTTGCTGCGCTTGCTGGAGGGAGTTGGAGAGCTGCTGGGATGACTGGGATACCTGCTGCGAGGCCTGGGAGACGGAGCGGAAGGACTGGGAGATGGATTGGATTTGGCCGGAGAGTTGTTGGATCTGGTCGTCGTTTTGGCGCTTGTAGAGGGCGAGGGAGGGTGGTGGTGTTATTAGTGGTATGCGAGGGGCGACCGCTGCTGGTGAGGGTGTATCTCTCTGGTGCTTTTGTGGTTGTGAGTCCAAGATGATGATTTGGACTTGCTCCTCCACGATCTGGACTACCTCCGCCTCGACTCTGCTCCAGAGAGCCTCCGCTGCTGAAGCCTCATCTCGCCCTGCCAGACCATGCCTCTGTAATTGCACGAGGTCCTCACCTCGTCGTACCAAGCCATTCCGCTGCGACTGCAATAGATCGCTGTCCGCACCGTCATGACCACCTTTCGCCCAAGCACAGCTCGGGTAAAGGAGCGAAAATAAGATCAGTCGTGGTATCGAACTCTGTTTCCTCGCCATGGCTAAAGGGCTATCGATGTGATGCTGAAAGACAGGTCGAGATGGAGATCATCTTTCAGCCAAAAGAACAGGCAAAATAGGCAAACAAAACAAAAAGGGGAGGAAAACCAGGAAAGAGAGACATGGCACGGGAAGGCCGATAGGTTAGGGTTATATTCCAATGGGCGGAGATCTCGACGGGTGAGCCCAGAGAGTGATCCCGAACCAGGTCCATGGTGTTGCGAGTCTCGTTGCTATCTTGGGTGCTCTGACGGCTCAGACACGGGCCTGTGGGAGATCATGCTGGCGGCATCACTTGATGTCCGGGATGAGAGCTCTCGGAGGATGCTGTGGCCGGGGCTAACGTAGCTGTCAAGAGGCATGTCAGTGCCAGTCTTCAACACAAGCTGCGGGAATCAGTTTCCAAGTCCATTCTTAGTTAGCATAACTATGCTGTCCTCGTACCAGCATAGGGCATGTCACGGAAAAGAGGTCCGTGTCCAAGTCTCAAAGACTCAAAAGCCGTCAAGCTTTTCGCGGACCGTTCGGTTGTCCTGGTTGTGGTTTTGGATGCAAGTCCGTGCAATTGGTTGGGGCTGCTGGTTTCCAAAGCGCACTGAAACCGAGAGAGATTTATGCTGCGAACCCGTTTACCTGGTTTGAACGACTATCGCTTAGACGCTGTTTCACATCCTTGTTTGGTTTCTCCCCCGGTCGACTTGTCTGTCAAAGCTGTCTCAGAGTTGATCATGACCCATGGTGTATGAATCGACGTCGCTATTTAGACACGGCCGTGATATGCGTGGGGAGAGCAGATATCGCGATTGTCCCATCAACGCCAAAGGTTGTAGACAAGAATAGTATGACGGACTGCGATCTCGGCGTCAGATCATGGAAAATCGCAATTCAGCCGGGACTCACATCCACTTGGAGCCTTCTTGTGCAGTTTCGTTCTCTGTACCAGAAACAAGAGAGAGAAATAAATTGCGACGAGACGAGTGTACTGCGAACCACATGACAATCGACCAAGCGACAAGCCAACAGCTCAACTAGCCCTGTCCGCATTTCGACGATCACGAGGACTGGCTCTCCTGCGTCATCAATACCCCATGGTTATTGCAGCCTCCTGACGCCGGCTCCTTCATGCGTTGCCGTCACTCGACGCCGCGCACCCCAAACAACACAGCTTCACCATCGGTTGGACCGCCGTCCTTCGGGGGAAAAGGATGAGCTGACATTCTCATAAGCTCCTGACCATTTATATACACACAAACCCGTCTTAGCCCGCTTGCCATGTCTCCGTACAGAGAGAACAGAAGCAGTGATGGCTGAGAAGTCAAACCAAAAAAAAACCGTGTATCAACGCCTGCTCCGTCATGCTTTTCGTGACTCCACGCGCCCAGGGTAGCTCAACATTCTTCCCAGCCCTGCCGGAACGTAGGCTTTCCCCTCGTCTCCAATACCGGGTTTTCTTCAAACCCAGGCCACCGGTGCAAGATGCATCAGAGGTGTCTCACTGACTGGCTGTCGTGCTTCCTCGACCTCATTGCCCAACTCCAGTGTTCCGCTGAGGTCCCTATCCCTCTTTGCACCACACCCTCTTAGACGGGCAACTTGAACTTCTTCCCCTTCAACACCTTATTGTAGTAAATCCAGAAGAAATCGCTATACAGCACCGTCTGTACCAAGCCGGCCGTGATGGCGATGTAGTCCACCTTGTGCGCCGCGCCCTCCGCGATGTACCGGTAGATCCAGTTGGGGATGTACAGCGCCCTATACAACCCAAGCGCGAACAGGTAGTGCGTCGTGATCGTCTCGGCCTCGCCCGTGCGCTGCAGCATGAACAGCTGCGGCAGGATGGCGACGGACTCGAGCCAAATCGAAAAAGCCCAGAAGATCTCCGAGAAGGTGTACTTGTACGGCCAGAGGACGGCAAGGACGGCGGCGCCTCCGAGGAGGTACTGCACGCGGAAGGTGTCGAGGTTGGGGTCGTTGGTGGGCTTGTAGGTCGTCGCCATGAGGTAGATGATGTAGGCTTGGGAGGAGATGAAGAGAATCTTGAAGATGATGTTGTAGAGGCTTGCTGTTTGAAAGAGGTCTGAGAGGAGAGGGAGGGGGTGTTAGTGATTGGGGCCGCCATAGAAAGCAGTGGTTGGAGGAGCAGGGGGGGGCGCATTTACCTAGGTATCGCGTCACGTAGACTACCAGGTAGAGTGCTTGTGACTTGTATGAGATGCCTGCACAGCTCTAGAGGGACTGTCAGCATTGCGCCCGAGGACGCATAGTCAATTGCGAGGACTAACATGTAACTGGAGCATCTTGTGCAGGAGGATGCCAATGGACGCCAGATGGGAGAAGTCCCCCAGGACTCGGAAGAGGTTGAGAACCATCGCGGCGGCTGGAGCGTGCCTTGTCGGGGTGCGATCGAAAGATGTGTCAAGCTGCTATGGGAGCAGCACCGTCGAAGCGTCGTCAAGCCGTTGTGGATGTGGTGGTGGTGTTAAGGGCGGAACAATTAGACTTTGGGGACGCTGTAGTGATGGAAGCTCTGTGTGGAAAGGACACGAACGCGAAATTGGACCTGCATTGGCTTGCATTTGCCGGTGAACAGTGACGTACTTTTAGCCAGTTACATTGGCTGGCAGCTGCCAAGACTGCTCGACGAAAAATGAGTTTTTCGAAGGGTTAGGGTTAAACCCGAGAGCTTCGCAGGGGAAGAGGAGGATCCTTAAAAGTAACATTGCACGAAAAGCGTTAGGGAGACGGCCAAACGGTCTCATTGTGTCTAGAGAGACCTCTTGATCACATTCATTGACGATACACATAGCAATCACCGGAATCGAATGTAGGGTCATCAAGGTCGTGGTATCATTTTTCCATTGACCCCGAGTAGCCCTCCATTCCTGTACTGATGAGATGAAGTCCATCAGCTGGAATTGTGCATTGAGCGACCTAGCCTTTCCTAACTAGATCGCATCGTAAGAGCAATCGATGCAAACCA